ACTAGGAGGCTCTTTGGAAATTAAAAGTCGAAAGAAAATAACACTCCCATATTGGGTTACCAGGCGTTTGACACTAGAGAAACGCCATTTTGTCATGCGACTTCCATGTATACAGCAAATGTGATGAAAATACCCACTCCAACCATCCCATCCAGATGTAATCTTTCGCTAATTGTAATTATTTCTTGAGTTAAAGTGACACAACTTTATTAATTTGGTCAATCTGAGAACTTGAATACATTTATAGAGCACTGAAATTTAACCCTTAAATGGTCACGTAATTGTTAAGATACTTTTTGTATGTGGAGTCACCATCACTTTTTAAAATTATTATTAACTCCTAGTAAATTCCACACCTTTGATCCTTATACATGCATAGTATTGAAGGAGGGACTAAATGCAAAATTAACATTAGTACTTCAAGGACATGACAGAACCTGACTTTCCATAAAATCTCCTTTACTTGACCACATTTAGAATTGTGTCCAATTATGTGCCAAGCCTTTCAAATATGGTAGCATGAAAGGCAAAATAGAAAATGACCCAACTTCTTAAAAAGAACAAAAGTCCGTGTGGTATTGTATTCAAGTCTTAAATTTTACTGCTTTTGCCTTTGTAAGGTCAATTTGAATTAATGCTACTTTATTGTTGATTGTTTTCCTTTAAGACTTCTTAAGCCATAATGTATTAATTCATACATCATTTCCCCTCAGATCAGTGGTACTTTCAATCTAATTGCAATTAAGCAATTAGTAATTCAAATTCACCTTTCACCTGCCTCGGTGAGAAGAAATGATCCGTGATCACCTGTTGATGCAGGTTGGTTTAATCCGGTGGCAAATATTCATTACTTCATCCTTTAAATTCTCAGATTTTCGGCATTGATTAGAAAAACAATGCCACATTTAATAGGTCTGATTACCAAACGTTTATGTATCTCATAAGTCTGTCAGGAACTTATGAGATACAGGCTGTTCATGAACAGGCAGAGGCTTTTGTTCTCTACCTCCAGAAGTTGAAGGCAGACTTGCCGTCCTGTGGGTTATCACCCGGCAGCAACGGCGCTCATTGGAAACAGATATATGACCATTCAGAGACCGATGTGTGGGAGGAAGCGGAACGGGACAACAGAAGAATAATGTGAGGGTGTGGAGTAGTGGGGGCATAAAACTTAATGTTTTTCTTCCTGTGGGTGGAAGACAAGCCACACTGGTGTTGTTTTTTTGTTTTTTTCTTTTTATGTGCATGCACGTGTGTGTGTGTGTGTGTGTGTGTGTGTGTGTGTGTGTGTGTGTGTGTGTGTGCGTGGGTGTGTGTGTGTGTGTGTGTGTGTGTGTGGGTGTGTGTGCGTGTGTGTGTGTGTGTTGTGTATCAGAAACAGTTTATCGCCCCCTATTTCTTTGCATCTGAAATGGTAGAGAGAAAGCAAGAAAATGAGCAATTTCAGCAAAGTGAACTCATTATATTACAAGAATTAAATGTGAAAAATATGAGAAATCCTATTTCGATAATAAAGTCTAAAAAATACAAGAATAAGGTTGCAATAAAATGAGAATAAAGTCAAAATATTACACAAATAAAGTAATAAGAAAGTCATAATATGACAAGAATAAATAGATAATATTACCATATTATTATAATGTCATAAAAATGTGAGAATAGTCATAAAATTACAAGAATAAATTCATAATAATATGAACATATACTCCACTTATTTTTTCAGTCTGCTTGATCTGGGACCAATTTTGCACCACAAGCAGGCGACTGCGAAATTATGATTTTAATTCTCTAACAGTATTGTATTCCTCTTGTGATTTATTTTGTATTTTTTTTCACCATGACCCCAATGCTCCATCATATTTCACATGCTTTAGTTGCAATGAAATTATATTTAAAGCCATCCGTGCCTCTGCACTCCCTTGACTATCCGTTAACTTTCTCAGAACATCGCAAACACTAAACAAGCCCCATTTCTGTGCGTTTGTGAGACGCAGCGTTTCAGGTTGCACATGTTGATATTCTCCACCGACTCCGTTAATGACAAATTATCCTCTCTCCACCTGATGTCACCGCTTGCTTCAGCAGTCTGGTCTCCAGATGCTCATTACTCGCCGTGAAAGCAAGGTTCTTTACAGGCCCGGGGCTCTTGCGAGAGCGCTGCGAGACCTCTGCTGAACCGAGCAAATCTCTGTAAAATCGTGAAAAAGCCGGGAACAATCTGAACAATAGCCTGATAACGCACTCTCCCACAGCCTGGAGTGTCCCCCATCTCCTCTGCTTCATAAAAACTTTATTCAGCCAATCTCTTAAAAACCGAGACAAGAACAGCCCATTTCACCAGCAGGAAGTTCAATATCTCCGTGCAAGGCATCTCACGAGCGACAAGAAAAATCTGGCAATGAAAGTGAAATCCTATTAAATCTTTCAGCGAAAGCCTTCCATAAATAATGCGAGGGGAAGTGTTCTGGCTTTTTGCTGAAACGCAACGGCGTCCACTTCTGTAGGGAAGCTATTGTTAGTCGGCCACCTCCGTCACGTCTGCGCCAGATTTGAGGAAGGGGGAAAATCTATTTTCAGTCATTTTAGCCTTACTGTGCATGTTTCCCAGCTTGTTAAACACACACTGGGTTTTGCACGCACCGAGATGCACCAAAGCATCAGCCGGTGAGCTGCGTTGGTCAATTTTCATCTTCAACGCTGATCTTTTTCCAATTCTTGAACAAAAAAAACAACAACCCTCTTCGGTGAGGAAGTTGACGCAGGCAGAAGCTGCGTATTAAAGAATGCAACAGGGTTCATACACATTTCAAAATGTCTGTATTTTCCGGATTGAAGTGTTTAAATTTTATTCGGATGTTCTTACAGCATCGTTGACATTTTACTAAAAAATATCAACTTTTCTATATTTTTGATTTTTGGTTTGATATGGAGCCATTTTACTTTGGCATTTGGACCCACATCGATCAGAAAATTTCCAAACTGGATTGTCTCACACTAAATACAGATTCTTCAAAGAATAGTCTCAGAACTTTGCACTTAAAAATAATTTGCATAAGATTAAGAAAAAATCTTTTTGCATTTCATCTACCACTACTTACAGACTCAATTTAAGGTTTTCTGGAGTCCAAAAAAGTAGAGCAATGATTATTTCTTTGATTTGCAAATGAGTGTGTGGGTCATTTGGACAGCCAGTCAAAATTTTTAAAAACCTACAGAAAAAAAATCAATCATTCGACATGTATGTTTCATATCAGAAATAAGACATGTCAGTGGAATATATGGAGCAAATTTTTTACCCCTCTAGAATCTCACACTTAAAAAGAAACTTCTTTACAGGGAAAGGTCAGACATTTTTTTGAATGGGTCTCTGTGAAGAGGCTTAAGAAGAGTTCCACCTAATCGGCAGTAGATAACTCTCTTTGTGACCGCACCTTAAAGGAACGGGAAGCAGGGGACGGTCTGAGCCAGTCGGGGACAAAGGATGATTTATTTTAAGCTGATCTCAATTATGTTGTAGCGCCTCAAACACATAAAAGAGTAACACTGCCACATTGGATAGATATTTACGGTGAAGACGGAGGCAGTTTGTGGCCCATGACGATCACCTTCTCGTGGAAATTACACAGTGCAGAACTGAGTTTGTTCGGAGCTTCTACCTATCAAGGCTGCGTGAAATCTGCATGCAACTCCCGGAGCTGCAGGAAAAGGATGACGTCATTCTTTCCCTGCAGATGTAGGTTTTCACAGCTTGCTCTCCATATCTTGGCAGAACTCTCGTCTCATGCGGCGTCCAACAACCATTTATGTCCACGTTTCACAGGCCATACTGCGCTAAAGGTGTACGTTGCTAACATGTAGTGATGGGTCTGGCAACACTGATGCGTCGGAGCGTGCGTCAAGCCTGTAGACAAAACCTCGCGTCTGTGTGTGTATTACTTTCAGCAAGTCACGTGACCAATACGGGAACTGTTTTGAAATTACACTGAAGATAGGACATAATGCAATATATAATATTCAAATACAATGACTTTTATCTTATTGTATAGACTAGGTCATCAAATCAGTCTGTCAACTACGTTGCATGTAGGGATTTTTAATGTCCAGCAGGTGTCAGTATTCAGTGACACGGTGTCAACACAGTTTTGCTTTGGGTCGAAACGCTTCATGACGCCTCATTGACCCAAAACTACTAACATGAGACGACCAACTGAAATGTAAATGGTACTCATTAGGTGCCTTTCCATTAGAAATGTGTGCAAAAATTTTGCAAAAAACAATTCCACATTCGAGGTGTTTCCATTAAGTGAGAAACGCGACTCATGCGCGTTGACGTTTGTTCACGCAATAAGTTATTGAAAACATGAAGCGCCATCATTCTCCGACTACTTCCTGCTGTCTTCTTCTTCTCAGTTTACGACAGCGAGAACGTCTGGTGGTTGATTATGACTCGGGTGTAAAAAAGTGTTTTGCCAAATAAACCAATTTAATTCCAACCAAAAAGTAAAACTAATTCAAGCACCAAAATGTGTGATTGAAAAACAGGATTTTTTTTTCAAAATGGCTGTGTTTCTAATAAACAAATTAATTTTCAAAAAGTCAAATTGTGCAATTGTGTGGATAATGGAAATGCACCCACTGTGTCAAAAAAATAAAGCAAAATCCCTCCCGTCTGTCCCACATAGACTGGCATCGCTTCTCATTTGAATGCAAATAATTATCATTAACGACAGAAAAACTAGATCAAATTTTAAATGCCGTGAACGATAGTTCTTCAGTGGGAAAGTGGAAAAATTGGCCGCAAATATTTCATCAATGCACCTCTAACACACACACAAAACAGCTTGCAGCATATAAAAAAAAATTGCTTTATCCTCTTTCAGCCTCCTTAACTGAGAAATCAGTAAACCTCCAAATGAAAATAAACAGATTTATAAAGTTGATCTCCAAACAAATGGGAAAAAACCAAATAGCGTTTACAAAGCAGTTACAAGATGACTGACCTCTCTCGCAGGTGCTGTCCCAGAAGCCCGTTCCGGTGCAGTCGCAGATAAACCTGTTCCATCCCTCCTTGCACGCGCCGCTGTTCTTGCAGGGGCTGCTGTCGCACTGCTTCCCCGTCATCTTGCTGCACGACGACTTGATGCCCGTCGCGTTCTGCGACTGCGAGATCTGCCGGATGTCCTTGCTGCGTCCGTCGATGAACAGGTCCCGGATGCAGCCCACGTAGCCGTAGTCAAGCATAGCGGTCCAGAGCTCGGTAGGGAGCACCAAGCCCGCCCGGCTGTCTGGCAAACCTCCCAGGTAAAGGTCGCCTTCCAAGTCCAAGATCTCGTTTTCCCCGCTGGCCGTGAAAGGGGTCCGGCGGCTGTTCACCGAGATGATGCCTGGGTGGAAGAGAAGCGATTATTATTCCTTTTTTGCTCAATTTGTCTTAAATCAAATATCGTTTGCTGTAGTCTCCTCGCTCCCCCAAACCATTACTTTTCATATTTCGACTCTTCAACTTTAGGCCAGAGGTGTTCAATGGTTTTCCCAAAGAATTAAACCAAAGCAGAGCGGCACCTGGAGGTGCAAAATGGTGTGATGATGAGAGCACAGCGCTTTGCTCTGACGGTGCCGAACCGTCATCTTCACAGATGGTGCTGCAAACCCATTTCTGGAAACCATGACTTGCTTTGATCGCTGAAAACTCTACTTCAGGGAACCCCTAATGAGTCCCAAAACCACAGAAGAGAAACAACATAAGAATAAATAATTGCACACTATTTCTTTGCGTCAGGCGACCAGTTCCTGCATTTGTTTCGCTGGTTTGTTGGAAGTCTCTATTCAGTCAAACTGTAAAATTTGCCTTGCAAAAATATTTCTGGAGGAAGTCCACTAGAATTCTTTGCTCTCTTTTTTGTTTGAATGTATTAACAAATTCAAAAAAAGATACTTACTTGACTTTTCTAGGATTCAAGAGGAAAAAACAAAAAACATTTAAGCCCAAAGAGAGACAGTGTGGATTTTAGGAACATTCAGCTCCGTTCTTCTGACCATATAAAGTACACGAAATGCAGTTATTTAGGTATGATCTAAAGAACTTCTTTTGTGGAAATGCATTTTGTTGCCCAGGCACGGTGTTTTGAGTCAGTGTATGATTGTTGGCAAAATAGAAAATACACCAGTTGGTTGTATTTTTTTTCATTTCTGTCAACATTCATTTTATTACCAGATATAACAGGTCGCGCAATTTCAGTCTACGGAATGTTTCCCAAAAATCTGAGGCACCAGATTTTTGGGAAATATTGAGATGGTTTTGTTTTGCTGAATGGGTAGCAGGCCTTTGTGTTTATTTTTGAAAACGCTCTCATGGACGCATTTTTTTGCCAAATCTCTCTTCTATTGTTGAATCATGAACACTGGCCTCAGACGACAAGAGAGAGGCCCTGTTTTTCAGGGCTCTTTTGTGAATCTTATTTTGATGCACTGGAGTCCAACATCCCAGGAAATTGCTTTGGAGCCCTTTCCCAGCCTGAAAAACGTCAATAACTAATACTTCTCCACAGTCCCTGAGTCCTTTAGATTGGGACTATGAGGTGTTACTTTTGGAGATCTTGGAGGCTTGTTTTCCAAATCTTTACAAAATCTTTTTCCATCATGTATCTAAAAAAAAATCCGCATTTAGACAAAAAACTCATGCAGTGAGCATAGAGAGCCTGTAGGAGGTGGTGAAAGTTTGAACAGGTTTTGATCCACAGGAATGTTTGCCACAATCCTTTGACTGTACAAAGGCGCAATCTGCATATCTTCAATGCCGACATCAATATTTCAAAATCCAGTCCACTGTCATTGTGAAAACTGAACCTGAACATGAACGATGACGTGACTGCCATCATTTCCTTATGCTTTGGATTTAACTTTGTCGGTTTGTCCATCCAAACCATTGTTACCATGTGAACAAGATGCCAAAACATTTGTGTTTCACTGTCCTGGCGTTGTGGCGTTAAACGGGCTCTTGGCCTACCAAATGTCACAGATTCTAGTCAAGGATTTCTTGAAGTGTCTGGGTGTGGCTAGTGGAACGCCACAAACAATGTGAATATGCTCAGTTAAATCATGATTTAAAAAGGGAGGCATTTCATTGACTTACATGGGGTCAGGTTAGTTCGGATACCTTTTTTTCCTTAAATGAAATCTGAAAAGAGCCTTTTGTGTCGACTTATGTCATCTTTGTTCGATGCTGAAATTTGCTTCACAGGTTCAGATGTGCCAGTGTGACAAGTAATGAAAGCGCAGGTATATTCTTAGAAGACAGATGTCTGGGCCTGAATTACTTTCATGAGTTTTGCCTTGTAGTTGTTATATCTTAACTGTCACCTGAAATATTTCACTTTTTTTCTTTTTTAAATAGAAACAGATGTATTATTCAGCAGGCAGACTCTGCTTGTATCACGTAACCTATGCTGTATAGAGTATCTTCTTCAGCCTCCATTGAGGTCAAAAGCATATGGTATAGGAGATAAAGAAAAAGATCTCTTTTCTCTCCCCTCACAGCCTACCATTAGCTTGCACGAGAACAGTGAAATATGAGTTCCCAAATATTACATTCATCTTCCAGCGCGGCAGAAACCAAGCTCTTTGTGGACATGAAATTTAATTTACCCAGACTCCTTATTAGCATTTCACTCATGCCACAAGTGTGATTATGCCTGTTCTTAACCATCTCTCAGTCTGCTATCCATTTATCTGTCTCATTCCTCTTTTTCCCAGCGAGGAAATCCAACTTTCTGCTCCGCTATCGCACTTGGGGGCTGTGCCGGTGATTAATCAAAGCAGCGAGCTCTGACACACGGCTAAATTGGCTGCTCCAACCTGATATATAACGCGGCAACTAACACAACCATGTTCTCTGGAGGATCTCTCCTAATGCAGAGGTTGTATTGAGTCTGGAGCTTAAGGCGAGAGACGTTCCAACCCCTGTTCGCCAATGCAATCTTCCTCAAACACAAAAATAGAAGGGGCTCGGCGTCTATTTAGAGAAGAAAAGAAGTTTACCCTGGTAATAAATCATTTTGAGCCATCTATCTCTATTAAAGCTTTATAACATTCTATGGTTGGGAATCCCAGGAAGCTAAAACAAGCAAGTGCATAATAGCTTTAGTGAGTGCTGTGCAAGGGAAAATGTTTCCAGTAATTTCATAGTAACTGCTTAATGTGCAGCAGTGGTTCAAAGTTTCGACAAGATAATACATTTTTGTGTCTGCAAGCTTCAGTTTTTTGTTACGGTTTGGTTGTTAGATGTTTAAACCATATAATCAGATTAAAATAATATATTCATGCTTTGGATACGGATCATTATTGACTGATAAAAACATCTGACAGCTGTCTGATGTAACTGTTATTTAAAGAAATATGTTTTGTCCATATTTTTTTTTAAATAGTCACTATGTCGTGACAGTGTAATATGATACACATAATCGGTGAAAAAGATTGAGCTCCTCTGCCTTCTCCAATGCTAGCGACCTAAATGCACAGCGCGTCAGAAAAAACAACAACAATCAAACCCATGAGGAAGGACTTAGCGCTGTCAATTATGCTACAGCTTCTTCCTGTCAGCAGAACCTGCCATGAATGCTCAGGCTAAGCACAGCCAACAATAATGGTGGATGAACGGTTTCCCTGTAATGGTAAGTTGTTTCTCCACCATTAGCACACTGAGCAGCGCATATCTGAGGTTGATTGACAGCTTAAGACTCTCCTCCTGGCCCTGATTGGTTGGTTTTGACCAAAAGTGGTTCATTTCTTCAGATGCCAATAGTAGCCAAGGGAGACGGTGGAAGGCTTTAATCTTTTCACACATTATTTGCCTCATATTATACTGTGATGACACGATGATGGTTTTTACCAAAATTTAAAAGAAAAAACCCCCCAACGTGTTTTTGAAAAAGTTACATACCGTGACTCTAAATCCTGATAAGTGCACAACAACCCGCTACTTTATTGTTTTCAGCTTACCAGAGCGACCGTCCCTCTGGATGTCCACGTGGTGCCAGGCCCCGTCACTGACTTTAGCCTGAGTGGCCTTGACCTTGATGGTCCCAGAGCCCATGTCCAGAAGAAGGTACAGCCCTCCATCTAGCAGCTCCACCGCAAAGAAGTCCACCTTGTTGTTCTTCTGGCCCTTGGCGTCGCGCCGGTTTTGCGGTTTGCCGTGGGTGAAGAGTATCAACCCGTTGGGTTCCGAAGTGCGGAAGTCAAAGGATATGGAGCCGACGCGCTTGGTGTTCCACTTGGGCAAGGCCAGGAAGGAGTCGGGGGTCTCGAAGTTGATCGGGTCGAGCGTGGGAACGTTTTCGCACTTGAAAACCACGTCTCCTTGGAGCTTCATCTTAGGGTCAACGATGCGGGCCAGGCGAGAGAGCTCCAGTCGGATGTCGTTGTTCTTGTACACCACCTGAGGCGCGGAGAGAAAAACAAACAAAACCAGAAAGGAGAAACGTAAAACGACTCGAGCTCATGAACGGCAAGCTGAAAACCTGGTGCGAGGAGCGTTTTCCCTTAATAATCTTTCAGTGCAGTCATGAGCGAAAACTTAATCTCTCTCTATAAATGAATTGAACTCCATTGCCAACTGTGATATTATGGAATCACGCTCTGGTATTATTAGACGTTGCAGATGTGAGGACAGCCGGATCGATAAAACTAATATCTTCGAGGATTTGTTTGTCTCAGTGATCTATTTCAGCTTCAATTTATTCAAGATGGAAAAAAAAAAAGATTGTAAACAAATGCAGGAGTGCGTTTCTGTTCGATTGAACATCTACTCACAGAGTGAAGTGATGGCTAAATTATTGGTGAGTCATTCTTTGCGAGGCCAGGAAAAACAAAACAAAACAAAACAAACAACAACCACCAAAAAATAAAAGAGTTTGCAAATTGAAAGTGAAGGCCCACGGGAAATTCATGACTCCCGGAGAATATTGCCGTTAACTCACAATAAATTCACACCGACCCTATACTCATTCACAGAAGAAATCAGCATCATATGCAAGTCAAATACAACAAAACACCAAAGAAGAAATGGAGAAAAATAGCATCAAATTGGAATCCACTGATGCAGAAAATTAATATCCCACCACCACTGTTTTTTTTTCTTTTTTTTTTCTCTGAAAACAGTCGGGCTTTTTCTGGTATGTAGGGCAGAGTTTGTACAGGAAGTGACAACACTGTTAGGAAGAGCACAGCTGTCGGCAAACAGATTTTACTGCTGTGGGATTACTGGTAATCCTAGAAGATTTGTCATTAGATCGACACAAGTGACCCCTATTTCTGAAGTGGACTCATGAGGCAGGGGCCAGACAGAGAGAGGAGGAGAAATAAGGAAGAGATTAATTGGGATGCATCGACCTAATATTGATGTTCATATTGGTGCCGATATTGAGGGTGTCAGTGACAGTGTGCCCAATCCATAAGGATGGATCGAGTCACTCTAATTCTTTGTATGCTGAGCTATATCATGCTTTAATATTATTTAACATCATATTTATAATTCCTAATTGCACTTTCTGAACCATTTGAAAGAAGAATTGTTACGGTTTATTTTGACTGGTGTCAAACATGTCAGTTTTTCTATTATTTATCTTACTTTGGTTGTTTTTCTCCTGCTGAAAAAATGTGTTGTTTTTCATGTTTGTACTGGAGCAGAATTATCTCAAATTTGTGATTCAATACATTTATGTCTGTGTTTAAAAAAAAACAAAAAACAAGAACAAAAAAAAAAAAACATTTCAAGTCATTTCAGCTTGTTTTTGTTTTTTCTGTATCGGGTTGGAATCAGCCAATACTAAACCTCGGGTATTGGTATCATAAGTGGAAAAAGAGGGGATCAGTGCATCTCTAAATGTCAAGAGAAGTCAATACAAGTATTAACATTTTTTTTTTTTTTTTTGTCGATTGAGCTGTGTGGATCTTTAGTGTTGTGTGTTTTGTATTGGCATCTTTTAACTGCGCTGGAAGAAGTCCGAACCCGATTTTTCTGTGGTCGAACAACAAGGTTGTCCTGTAAAGAATGAACAAGTCTTGGTCTTTATTTCATCTGGATATTTGATGATACTGTTCCCGTGAAATGGTAGCAGAGCTCACTTCTGCCGTAGCCTGGCCCTTTAAGCAACGCCCACAATGTTTCTGCAGAGTTCAGGTGGGAAGTTAAGTGGATCTGTGTCCTGCTACGGTACTCCATTGGCTCCAAGTTTTAACCCAGCTGGCCCAAAATGTGCCCCTCAGGTGGATTGAAATGGGTCAGGATGTTCTAATACGAACCGGGAATCACATAAATCCATGTCTACCATAAGCCAGAAACAGCTGAAACAGCAGTATCTTTGTCTGCAGTGAATCCACTTTTATATTAGCATTACCTGACAGAACACCAACCAAGAGTGAAACACCTCAACACCCTGAATACAAATTTCTCTATAGAAATAATGACATGGAGTATGTTTATATCACTGGCTGGCTGTTTCTGACCGAGCTGAGTAATTCTCAGGGCCGCAGATTTTACTCATGCAGGGCCGTCCAAGGCTATATGAGGCCTTGAGCAGAATTTGACTTGGGGGCGTCCTTCTTGCAGCGCGTCTAAACGCTTCTAGATTTAGTGAAATCTCATCGATTAACGTTTGTTAGTTGTCACCTTTTGACACACGTTAGATGTGTTGTGCAGAAACGGTTTACTGGGGTTCAGCCTTGAATAATTTCACAGGAGGTGTCAACACTTCTGAACAGGACAGGTGTTAAAGAGGCTCTGGGTGTGAGGCTGGGGCATCACACTGCTACCAGACTCTACTGGTGTGTTTGGTAGAAAATAATAGTTGTGTGTGTGTAACACTGCTAATGTGCGCTGTCCTAAACTTTTCCCCAAATGTTGTTGTTTCACACAGGGAGGCGGATTGAAGATTTAACTGCAGTGGTTTGTCTGGTCCTGCTCCTTTCTGAAGAGACCAGCATCAACTTTCCCTGTATTGTGGTCACTATATTCAATGGACTTCACCTGCCAGCCTTCCATCCCCTCTGGCATTAACCACCCTTTCACAGATTTGACAAAATTTATGGTTTTGACATCTGAATCCTCCTACAATAGGTTCAGTTGTGGACATGCCATCAAACTGTCCAATCCACCTTTGCTTCTAGTTCCTATCCTTCCACTTTCATCAAACCAAAACGAAGGGCAGAAGGCTTATTGCCTGCCATTTCTACGTGCCTCTCTGTTGAGATAAGGTTTTTCATTTTACCTAATGGTGGTCATCAGCTGTTGTCTAATTGGAGTGAATACAGCATTAAGACTCTGTGAAGAGCTGGGTAGAGCATGAGAATGAAGGGATTAAAGGATAACAAGTACTCAGGGACTGCTTATGTTTACTGGTGTATAAGTAGATCCATTTCTCAATCCTTTTGCGACAAGTTATCCTGCGGAGCTAAAAATCCATCTGTTTCTCTGCTTTTGTCTATTTATTAATTCAATCTACATTTAACTGTTTGAGTAATTGCGGTCTGATACGGTGCTAACGCGGGACATTGCAAAAAAAATAGTTACATCATTTTGTACACTTTTACAAACACAACAGAAAATATGAAAAATGCTTTCTGGGATTCTATTAAATTTCGCCTCGATTAATACATAATGAGTTTTTAACTATGCTTTATTACATTTTGAAGCCTAATTTTGTGACATTAATTCCACGATGCAGCATCATTACACTATGCGATGTCACAAAACAGAACAAACATTAGAACCCGCACAAACGTATAAACAAACTGTATATCACTGCTGACTTCATCCTGCTTTTGTTCCTTATTAAAACATGTTTGTTATTTACAGCTACAAGTGTGTATATGGGCAAATCAAGGGTGTGCTTTTGTTTTTGACTGGCTCCATGTCTTTAACTCCGTAATTTACCTCAACATGCTAGCTGTGCTGCCAGCAATAATTTCAAGCCAACCAAACAACTGCTGACTTATCTTGATGGAACGTTAGAAAAAATTGTAAACACCTAATATCGCGCTAACAAACAACTGAGAAGTTGTGCTCAACGGCTGAGAAACAAACTTGGCAGGCGTCAAAAGTGCGCAATGGATATAATGCAAAGGAAAATGCAGTTTCTTAACTGTACCGCCCGCTAAGGTAATAGCTTGTATGTATATAAATTGCAATGCCATGGTGTAAAACATGATTCCCTTACTCTGACATTTACTGCCTACACAATCGCTTCAAAGCCAAGCGTGTTTTGTCTCGATGCATTTATACGTTTAGATAAGAAGTCATTTATATTTCACCATCATCCAATTTCAAATTTAAATGCATATCTTCAGAGGGGGGAATTATGCAAAGTATAAGAACGCCTGCCTAATTTCTGAGATCCTTCACAGCCCAGCTTCCTCGTTTCAAGCAGATTTAGTTTATTCCAGCTAATGAACTCCAAATGGAGCTGCAACAGGATCAGTGAAGGGCTGGACTAACTGGCAAAGAGAAATAGCACTCTGGCAAAGAGAAATAGCACTCAAGTTTTTTCTTTTTGTTTTGATGTTTGAAGCGTTGAAACATAAACCATAATATGATATTCCACTTTCGTTTGGCCTTTGAGTTCTCCTGATCTCAAACCAAACAACCAGCCCTGACCCCAAACCTTAACCCTAACCCCGAAATTGAGATCTACTGACAGCTAAACTCACAATTAATATACTTTGAAGGGTCTAGGACTGACCTAAATAATATACTCTATTTTTAGAACTATAATGGAAATGATGGCTCAATTAGTTGAGGGCAGCGTCAGTGAAAGAAATGTTATCAAGCTTTAGGGAGGACTCACATGAAAGGTAGAACGGTGATTTTGGAGACTTTCCAATTTATTGAAATGTGCCTGTAATCGAGCCTCTTGAAAAGCTCGTTTTGAAACATGGTTTATGTAATCACAACATTTCTCACAGTATTTTTTGAAACGAAATGCAGCGCACACAATCTAAGTCGCTACCACCTGCGGTGACAGCAGATCGGAAGAGAAAAACATTACATTGTGTACTTGAGAAAACATGTTTACGTTTCGTCTGGCAAAGCGTTTGTTTGGCCAGACAAGCTTCAATTCTGTAATATTACTAAAGATTAATTAACTGGCATTTCTATTGCAGGTCAATAACAAACCTCCCGAGTGTTTTATGAAAACACAGGCTGGTAAAATTCTCTTGATCCTGTCGGCTGCACATGCTGCAAATTTGAAAACCTAACCTTTACGACTGTTCGGCTTTTGTGCGAGCTAATATGATTTGTTTCTGTTCGTTGCGCTCATTTGCTCCCGCTTTCAGCTAACCGCTCACTCGGAGAAAGCCAAGGCATCGCTTTATAAGTAGCAATTAACCAAGCAACCACTCAGATGAGATCATAGTGCCAAGTCATAAACGGGGATTTCA